CGGCGCTCAAAGAAAGCCAGCCCTGCTACTTGTCCGTAGCAGGGCTAAAACAGTGCAAAAACCACTTGCCCGGCGCCCGGAACTACATGTCCCGGGCGTCGGGCAATACGAATTACACACCCCTGCGCTGTGCGGGCCGGATTCGGCCCGCGGGCCTTGTGTTTGCCACCCCTGTTCTAGATGAAGCGCAGCACATTCATTATAATTTGGTATATTCAGAGGGTAACACTTCTTATAGTGCTTGCAGCTACACAGGGTTTGGCGCGAAGTGCTATTTGTCACTTGTATTGAGATTGTAGTCCATCACGGAAGCGAGCTTTTAGCGGTGGCTACTTTAAAACACACACAGAGACCATGGGGAACAAAAGTAGCCCCCCTCCAGAAGGAAGGACAGTATCGGCACCAATTCAGATGTTTTGAGGATCTACAGTGAGTGATACACTAGCTACATTTTTGTTAATAGTTAAGGTACTTACATTTTTATGATTTAACTCCTGGGTTTAATGTCACTTTAACAAATCCCTTTTGCCATCCTCTTGTTATACTGACCTGTAGGGCTATTTCTTCTCATACTCTTACACTTTGTTTTTTCGTGTGTTGCAATGTTCATGCAGTTTCGCTATATTTTGCATAAGTGTTTTTCTGTGTCCCCCCCCCAAAAATGGAATGTTGCCGTTATTAAAACCTATACTGCATTACGCATGCTGTACCATTCCTATGTACCTATGTAACATGCATCAACTGTAAATCAAACCTAAACCGTAGAATGTAAGATTTTTAGAAATTATACTGCACAAAATTGCAATTGTGTAAAGTGTACCATTTTTAAACTAATGGTCCATGTTCTTTTAGGTGCAGTTTTAAGATGTAGGAAAGAGTTTAAAGTGAAGGTGAAGTGTCTCCCAGACCCCCCAGCCCAAGTAAAAATCTTCATTTTTAGGCCACAATTCCCTTCAATAGGCCCTCTACTTGCAAAACAAATGGCTGTTCTCCTCTTCCTACAGTCGCTGATTTTAACTGGCACAGTGAATTTTGTTTTTCTTGCCGACTGATGATTTCTGATCTGTTCCTTTTGTGTTTTGCAGATTGTTGCCTTTCTTCGAAAGAAAGATGACTTTGTGAACTTACTGCTTCGGCATATCGGCACATCAGCAATTATGGATCTACTGTTACGGCTTTTGACATGTGTCGAGCAACCTCAGCTGAGGCAGGATGTGTTCAATGTGAGTAAGCCTTAGGGCCTGTTCACACGACGTCCGTTTTCTGTGCTGACCTGATCCGTACGCTCCTGCACTAAAAATTTATCCCTATGTGTTTTATAGGCTACAGTTCTCACGTGCGCAGTCCGTTCAGCTTACGACAGAAAAATACTGCATGTCACATTTTGTACGGTCAGGAAACGGAAAATGCTCCAAACGCGTCAAACGCACTGCAGCTAACATACTGACAGCCCCACTCCAGTTTTTTTTTTAAACTGGAACGCATCAAAAACGCAGCCAAAACGTGTAAAAAACGCACTGCATCAGTAGCACCGCGTCTGCAGATCCGCACCTGATCAGGACCTTATATCATGTGAACAGGCCCTTAAAACAGAACTAAACCCTTTATAGCCGGTGCCATCTTGGCCTCCATTTAGATCTGCAGTTGCCCTGGTGCTGCACTTGGTTCAGCTATGACACCAGCAATGTGAGGGTTTGAAAGTTTAGATGAGAGTTAACTTAAGAATACTATAAAGTGGGACAGTTACCACCAGATGCATGCCTTGAATGTAACCTGTTGTACATTATAGCATAGGCATTTTTGGTATCAAACCTATTTTTTGTTTTTCCTCTTAAACATTATTGTAGCCAGGTTTTATAAAGAGAATTCCTTGGCAGTACCAATTATGAAATGTGAATAGTTTTGGAAGCTGGATAGGTATAAAAAAAAGCAGCCATACTTGCTAATGTGTATTACTGCTTGACTATTATTTCCTTTATAGCTATTAGCAGGCTCTGGCCTAAAGTGGACCGTTACCCCCCTTTCACTAAAAATCACAGCAGCATGCAGCTCTGCATGCTGATTTGAACATAATTTTACAGTCAGTTAAACATTGTTTAATTAACTTACAAATAGTTTATCCACTTCCTGGTCCAGTTCTGGCACAAATGAGGTAAGTGCCAAAGCGTTGCATCTTGGGAAGGTTACATCAGCAGAGCATTGCTGGAAAATCTCATCTGTAATCTCATCTGTAATCTCATATCTCAGGAAAAGGCATTTTTCTCCCCTGAGATGTGCATGGTCACATGTCCTAGTCACGTATATGAAATTCAGGATGTAAAAGGAGAGCTAGTAATCTGCCCTTAGTAAACATGGCCACCGTCTGAGGACAAGGGAAAAAAAGAGAATGTATGCAAAGCCTGCAATTATCTTGAAGTATGTGTTTGTAGATTGTCATTGCTAAACATTTCTAAAGGTGTGGGTTTTTTTTTGTTTTGTTTTTTAAGTATATTTTGATTTTATTCAACAAAGATTAGTTACAGCAGATTTATCACAGTCAGTATAATGATTACTACGATGAGAATTGACATAAATCAGAAGATTACAATCTGAAACTTGTACTTTGTATATTCCATTTGCAAGAGAACAATAAGGAATGGAGCAATCAAGATATTGCAGAGCAATTAAAATTTGGCATGTTGATTGCCACTGCATTCTTAACATATAGTATAGGAATATCTAATCAACAAAGTAATAGGTTAACAGAGTAACATGTGAACAGTGTGTGGTTGCCTGGAGAACTGAGACTGTAACAGTCATTGATTATTTTGTGTCTGGTGAAATTAGTGGATAGGAACGCAATAAGATTGGTGTGGAAAGGGCTGGAGGTGGGGGGAGAAAATAATCAAATGGTGATATGTGGATGATGTGAGTTGCGTCTGATATGGGGGAATAAATCACAGCTACAAGAGTGCTTGGTAGAGAGCGCTGATCTAGTGCCTAAAGGAGTGTTCTCCAAACGAGTACTATCTCAGAACATCATCAGGTTTGCCCAGAGAGCCCTCAGATGAAGCTAGAAGGTACCATCTTGAGTTCTGGAAAAGTAGCATAATATCCTTCAATTGGTCCACAGTACATTCACTTGTTAATCTGGTCCATGTATGGAAACATTTTCCAGTGTTGGCTAAGTTATTTTTGGTATCTATTTTGTGGATTAGCATGAGGTGATGGAGTGTGCCTTTTGATATCAGTCAATGAGGGAAGTTGAGGATTAAGCCAGTTATGTATTTGCTTTTTGACAGCCAATAGGCAGTAGTGTTCCCATTTGGTTAATGCTTTTACTCTGCCTTGTTCAGAAGCGACTGGGGAGTGGAATAGGCATATTGCCGGGGAGACATCCCTAGACCTGTCTGAGAGTGCGTTCATATAATCAATCGCTGATTGTCAAAAATGTTGTACGTACGGGCAGTGCCAAAGTAGATGCGTCAAGTCGGGGCGTGGGACGTGGCATTTGGGACAATCTGTGATCCAGGTGGCGTTGGCCGAGGCGGGGGTGAAATTTTAGAGCATAATAAGCCCTGTGAATGATTTTATTTTTATTTTGTATGTCACGGTTAACAAAAACAAGCACTCACCGTGCCACAACAGAGCAATACAAGCATGAGCAATCATACTTAATTTTGTAAACAGAGGGAGTCAGAAGCATCTGTATCATAAGCAACGTCATAATAGCAATTCGTGTTGTATCAGACAAGTGTAGCTCATGAGAGAAAGATCCGGGGAGGAGTAGAGATAGAGAGAAAGTGAAAGAGTATACATAGAAGGAGATAGGGGAAGAATAGAAGAAGGCACATAGAGGAGATAGAGCCAATATGGGGTGGTACAGGGAGGGCTCACATCACCTCATCTCTGGGGTTGCCACCACTTCCACTTTTTGCGAAATGCGGGCAAAGTACCACTTTTAATTGCGTGTAACCTCTCTAGCTCATAGTGAATGATTTTAAACTGTAATTCCCTAAAGGTGTATTTTGTTATCTTAAAGATATAGTTAAAGGTCCGCTTTAAGGGACATCATGCTTAATGGGGTTTAATGAAAATGGGCCTGTGCCTTTTCAAGAATGCTTTTAACTGAAATGGTTTAATGGGATTTATGGTGGCCTGCTTTGTTATAGTTTGGTGTGTGGTCTCGCAAACTGATCACCTCTGCTGAATGGTGAATTTTGGAGGAATAAGGGTGGCGCTGCATTCAGCGCAACTTCCCCTTTCTTCCCACTCATTTTGAGGTTCACCAGACCTTATCACAACATATGCCCAGAGGAATGGGCCCTGAGCGTTTAACACACCTAAGCAAATTACTTCTGCAGTGGCAAGCGCAGAGTCCTCTGCTGATCTGAGTTTCAGTGCTGAACCTCCAGACACTTGAGTCTCTGCTCAGTATGCAATGTCTATGGGGAGGATATGGACATTGATAAATATGCAATTTGTGTAATGGGAGTGCGTAACTCTAGACTGTGTAGTCTCCTGGAGGGCGAGCTGGACAGTGTGTTCTGGAGGTGTGTTGTCACTAGGGAAGGACCAGAAAGAGGCTGATTTGCCCAGTTGCAAGTGAAAGCAGGACTTAGAAATGATATAACATAGCAGGGGTATTAAAGCGGACCTTTAAATCTAAAAATCAAATTCTACCAATGCATACCTCTATGCATGATGATTAATAATAACAGGGCATGTCAGGTGTAAAATGCTGTCCTTTTGAAATACACTTGCAGAGCGTTCACTTCTTGCTTTGAAAGTGCAAATTACTTCCATTTGCTAACACAATGCGCACTTGGATTGCCTTGTCATCAGCAGAGCATTGCTGGGAAATCTCATCTGCAATCTTCTGATCTCAGGGAAAGGCATTTCCTGAGATGATGTGCATGGTCACACTGCTGGGCACATACAAGCGATCGGATGGCTATAGAGCTGCCCGAACACCTGTAACAGCCGTTACGGACTGTCTACACTTGTCAGTGTGTGTGTGTGTGTGTGTGTGGCTGGCCAACAGCTGTACGGAACTTGCTGTCAGTTTATTTACAACGGGCGGACGGCAAGCGGTTAACGACTTAGGTGTACGTTTAATAAACTGTGAGAGTGTGATAAGCAGTGAAGGCTTTTCTCACCTTAGCAAAGTGAAAAGTCTAGAAAATGCTGTTTAATAACCCTAGATAAGTCAGGTAGGAACAGAAATATCTCACCTTCTCATCCTGGTGATAAGTACACAGAAAGTAATGGGAATGTACCTGTTTAATAAAGGGAGAAAAGTAGAGAACAGCTTTATCACGAGATAAGTATTGTGCAAAGTACCCTTGATTTAGCACCCTGTCAGACCTGGTGCTAAAGGCTTTTTTCTCGAGAAGCACTGAGCAAAGATACAGGAACCTCCTCCTCTGTCACTCAGTTCTTCTCTGTTTCCAGTCCTGAGGAAGTGTGAGTGGTATGTGCTATTCAGAGCCTAGTGCTATTCTATCCAGCTGTTACCGCTATCTAACTTTTTAAAGGTGTGTGTGTGTGTGTGTGTGTGTGTGTGTGTGTGTGTGTGATAATAATGATAAAATGTATCATTAATCAAATATTAATTTGATAATTAGTAATGAAATAGATAACATGTATTTATTAATGCAATCATTATTTTATGTAATTACATAAATAATATTTAATGAAATATTAATTATTCCAATATCAAAATAATACATTTAAAAAAATAGAACTATATTTCATAATCAACAAAGAATATTTATGAATTAAATAATCACCTGCTGTCAGGCTGTTGTAATTAAACGGCCGGGCAGCAGACGGAATGCGGGTGGGCGTTTTTAAATGTCCTAACCCACCCCGCTCGTGCCCGCCGCTCGTGGCCGCCGCTAGGCCGTGCTCACGAACGGGAAATTGGCTTTCAATGTAAACAGCCAGCGATGGCTGTTTACATACAAGCGTTCAGACGTAGAGACGCCCGATCACTTGTAATATGCGTGCGTTTGTGCGGGGCCCCCCCCTCCGTTGCCGCTGGCGATCCCGAGCTCCGCTGTGCCGGACAAACTACAGTGTAGCCAAGCTGCGGTGCGGTGCGAAGTGGAAGGTTGGGGTTTTTTTCCCTTTGCTTCGCTTCGCCTGCAGTGTGTCACAGCCTTGAGAGGGAACAGGAGGGAAGTCTGTCTTAATGCCACCCTTCCCTCATGAGAGTGACAGTGGCAGTTTCAAGTCCCCTCACTGTATCTGTGTAGTGTGAGGGAAAGTTCAGTAAGGTCATGTGACCTTAGGGCTTGTTGTTGAAGTCTCACTCTCCCTCAGAAACAGGCCCACCAAATAAAGCTTGAAGGATGTCTAGGGAGTATGTTTTAGAGGCAGATACAGTGAACATTGCACTCCACATAACAGTCTGTAACACCATTTCGCCACCATGGTCCGCCGTTTATGATGCATTAATACCTGCTGCTAGTGTGTTTGCACACACACAGTGCTGATGCACCTATCTCGGGACAGCAGGCTTTTTTGCATGGACGCCAAACATTCTAATTTCCAGCATGTGTCAGAGTGCCCACTTACATTGCTAGGCTCCATCAGAGTGCCCCTTTAGAATGTTTAACCCCATCACTGCCTCGCATTGTGGCTGCCTCTGGTAGTTTAATTCATGGTTTTGTACTGGTACATGCTGAACAAATCAGAACATGTAAATCCTGTTTTTTTAGCAATTTTTATTAATTTTAACGGTGAAATAACTGTTGCACTTTGCTATAGCGGTGCTTTGTAATGTTATTGGGTGGTTTGGCAGATTAAACTACGATCCTGTCAGGAGGATTGCAGATTATCACAAAGGATGTCATTGTGCAGCTTAGAATACATTCCCCACATTGCTTTCTCAACTGATCACTGAGATAACTTATCTCAGCCTTTCACAGCTGTTACAGGAGAAGTTTTCTTTTCGCAGGTTATTAAACAGCCTCTGTGCAGCCGAGAAAAACAGATCTGCTGAGTAAAGTTAACTCGTGATAAAGCTAGTTTTATCACAGTTTATTAAACGTACACCTTAATGACCAAGGATTGTGAAGTGCTGATGACTTGTTTCTTCCCTTACATTCACTGTCCCCATCATAGTTCCCCTTCCTTACCCAATTAATGTAAGCGTCACTCTGAGGACAACTAATAGCCGTCCCCATCATAATATGCATCATAGTATCCCCCTTATTTTGGCTCTCCCCATCAGAGTGGCCCCTTACATTGGCTGTCCCTATCAGAGTGCCCCTTTATTTTGTTAATATAAGGGGGCACTCTGATGGGGACGACTAATGCAAGGAGACACTCTGGGGACAACTAATCATTAGCTTTCCCCATCAGAGTGCCCCTTACATTAGTAACCATTGTAAGGGGGCATTCTGTTAGGGATAACTAAATGGCTGTTCCCATCAGAGTGCCCCCTTTCATTGTCTGTCCCCATCAAATCCCCCTTTTTGTAATTTAATGATAGGGGGCACTCCTGATGGAAGCAAATAATGTAAAGGGACACTCCGATGGGGAACAAAAAACTAGCTGTCCACATTAGTGTGCCCCTTTCATTGGTTGTCCCCTTTAGAGCGGCCCTTTAAATTACTGTCCCAGCATACAAACAGGCGGAGTAGGCAGTAGGTGAGCACTGAAGAGAAACACCCTGTAATGTTGGGGTGGGCATGCATGTCCCTGGGTATTAGGACCGCTGGTGGTCCTAGTTTCCAATGAGTGCAAAGGAGGGAGGCCTGTGCTGTGTTATTGCTGGCAGTGGAGGTACTGGTCTTGGAGGCCAGCACATCCACTATCTGCCAATAATAACCCAGCACAGGCAGAACGGGTGTCCCCCCCCCCCCCCCCCCCCTCCGTCTTGGGCT